AAGGAGTCACGGCGGGAGCAGGACTGGGCTCTTGATGTCCATCCATTCTCGTTATTCCTAAATTCTATCAGGTCTCCCCGGGAGCATCTGGGAGAGCCCCATAAACTGCAGCCTTCCGCAGCCTTGTGTTTGAGGCGGAGAGGTCCTGAGCCCTTGTGGATTCAGATCAGAATCCAAACTTCGCCTCAGTTAAAGGGGGCTGGGATAAAGTGCTAGCTCCTGGCTGGTCATTTGGGCCCAGGTAAACAACCCCCTCCAGAAGCCAGCACACCGGTGACAAACACAGTATTCAAAGGCTGCCCAATGCACCCTGTCCTAGCTGTGTGGCAGCCTCCCCAGGGACCCTCGAGAAGTGGGATGAGAAGGAGCAGTTCCAGGAGAGGGAGGATGGGCTTGTGGTGAAGAGCACAGGACATGGACGGAGGAAACCTATGTTGAACTTCTGGCTCTGCCGTAGAATGCCCCGTGCATCTGGGCAAGCCCCAGTCTCTCTGTGCCCCAGCTCCCCACCTGTCAAACAGGGAATATCCCGTCTCCCACCCTTTGTCTCTTTGGGGGTGTCTGACCGTGGCTCTCGCATCATACGGCTACTATCCAGCTCTTACTCAGCACTTTTCAGCCGGACATCTCAAAGCACTTCCTGGTCTTTAATGTAGTTATCCTCAGAGAAGCGTTATCCCCAATGTACAGACACAGGGAGACGCAGTGACTTGCCCCAGGGAATTGAATCCTGGTATCCCTAGTCCAAGGGCCGTCCTCAATTGCTGGACCAGCCATCCTCTGCAACTAATAAGTAACAATAATTCCTGCTGAAGGCGCTTAACAAAAAGGCCCCAAAGAGCGTCAAGCCTTCCCATCCTGTTGTCCTCAGGAGTCTAGACAGCAAGCAGCGTGACTATGGATCCCAGAGGCAGACAGAGCGGACGTGATTGACAGCTTTAGCGGCTCCTCTTTAACGAGTCTCTCTCCCGAGCAACAAACCGGGGGCATTTCAAAGAGATTTCATGCAGCTCAAGAACTGAAATTCTGGCACGACTCTACCTCTGGCACGTCCCGCCCCTCTCCCTTTGATACGTACCCATGGCCCCTGTGAGCGTCCCCGGAGATGTGGCTTCATATCGAGGGAAGACTGCATCCCCCCTTGATCTGTACGTGCGTGACACGTTATCTGTGGTGATTTACTTGACTTCTGAGCCTGGTCCCCACAGGCAGCTAGGACAGGGTGTAGCGGGCAGGCCGTGGTCCCCGCACGACCACTCTAAGACGACTTACAGGCCCTTCCTTAGGCGACATGTCTGCCAAGAGGCCTGGGAACAAGACCTGTCTCCTCTGTGACGTGTTAACAAGAGGGACATCAAACACCAGACCACCTGGAACGGACCAGACACTTGGCTAAACATCCCCCCTCAGTCCCAAGGGGGTTCGGTTCCACTGCCCACCCCTCCGCTGCAAATAAACCGCTGGGACGTCCTGTGACACTGATCTGTCTTCTCCTCCTTTCCTCCCGTGCAGGTGGTGAGACAGTGCTCAGGAACCGTCTCCACTGAGCGGCAGGCCCTCTGGGTTCTGCTCACCTGCCACACGGTGGCTCAGGAGGGGAGCTTTCCATTTGGCTGGTGTGGGGCGGACTTGGTCTGGGTCAGAGAGTCCCCCCAGTAAGGCGATCCCCAGGCTGGCGGCTGCTGCTACATAAGGAGTCTGACACGCCCCATACTTTGCAGGATTGAGGGGTGGGTGCAGGGTTTGGAGAGTCAGTGCTAGTGACAGTACCTGGCTCTTCTAGAGCACTTGGCATGTTCAAAGCACTGTCCAGATATGAACGTTGAGGAATATTATGGGATAGAATCACTGATTCCAACACAGGACTGCTCTAAATAGAACCCCCACCAGGTCCCTTAGCTCCAAACCCACAAGACCTCCCTGTTAGGATAGAGATATTCAGGCCTGTCTGTAAAGGCCTATACTTTAAGAATTTAGGTGTATTCTTATCACTTAGCTAGTTATAGAGGTATAAAAGAGAGAATCAAAATCACTCTCTGTCTGTGTAAGGGCCTTCTCGTACTGTGACAGTCTGAGGCTCTGTGCTTAGGCTAAGTAACGCCTAAGCTGAGAAGTGAACGGTCACATCCTCACATCCTAAACTAGTCACATGGAAATAAGGTGCTATTGGGCTGTTAGGAATCCAATCCTGTCCTGATATTCCTGTCACCTCCAGAGAAAGGGAAGAGCCTAGAACATGTAAAAGGAAATTTAGTTTGATAGTTTTCTGTCTGGTAAGAACTTACTTATCCATAGACACCGCTGGAAAACCCTTATGTCTGTAGAGATGTAGCTGTGAAATCCTCACTTCTGTATTGTTTTGTATGTTTATTTGCATGGTCTCTGTCTGGTTCTGTAATTGTTTCTGTCTGCTGTATAATTAACTTTGTTGGGTGTAAACCAATTAAGGTGGTGGAATATAATTGGTTAAATAACCATGTTACAGTATGTCAGGATTGGTTAGTTAAATTTCAGTAAAATGATTGGTTAAGGTATAGCTAAGCAGAACTCACGTTTTACTATATAGTCTGCAGTCACTCAGGAAGTAAGGGGGGGAATGGGAACAGGGAATAGCGGTGGGGGAATTGGAATCATGTTTTGCTAAGGGGGGAATGGGAACAGGGAATGGG